ATATATATATATACACGTATAGATCTATATATATACATATATATAATTTTTGGTCAAAACAAAGCCAGATTTTCCACTAAAATTTTACGTTTATATTATTTCACTATTTGGTTTAGTTTGTTTCTTTCCTTTTTAATGCCTTAAACTGCTTCTTTATTGCTGACTAACTTTGCTTTTCTTATTCCACTAACAGTTTTTTTTTTTTTTTAGTTTGAACGAGTTCCGAAATTTTTTTTGTTTTTTTTTGCTACTACCACTTTCACGAATTTCCTATAAAAAATTCCCGGATTAGGCTAATATTCCACTCATTTCTTGCATTCTGACCTATCTACATATAATTATGTATGTATATGTTATACATATGTGCACTATCTTCATAGGTACAGTTTCAAACCTTTTTTTCTTTTTCAACAAATTTTCGATGCTTTAAGCTTTTTTTTTTTGTATATATATATATATATAACTACTTATATCGGTTTCTAGGAATTTCACGTAGGTTTAAAATCTTAGCACTTCTCTACAATATTTTCAATCTTATTTTTATTGAAATTTTTGTTTTTTTTCCTTTTCGCGACGGCGACCGTGAATTTTTCGATTTCGTCCCAAGTTTTTTGCCAAGATTAATTTTGAAACCGCGTGCGTATGAGGGTGATCGGTGACTGACGCAGGGTATTAAATTTTTGTTGAAGCCAGCCGATGGCGACCCTTGCTGGCCACTTCTGTGCGCCCAGTCGCGGATCCGTACTGTAAATTACTTTGTCTAAAAGTTAGACATACAAATTCGTGAGTACATAGGGAATGTAATTTTTGAGCTGGTGGTGTAATATTTGCACATATCGCACACCGTCTTCAAAAGAGTCACAACTCAAAATTACACGTTCGTCAGAAAATGCGGAAAACTATTTCTTAGCGCATGCTAATCATATGGGCAAGGGATTCTTGACCTTAGGTTTTTTCAATAAATTATAACAAAAACTTGCTCCAGCTTTTGGTGAAAGGTAAATAAGAGCTCTGTGTACGCTTTTAGTGAATAATTTCAAAAATGCCAAATTTTGAGTTGCGTCACCTTTGAAGATCGTGTGCGATATGTACGTAAATAAGAAAATGGTGCAAGTTTTATTTACCTGGCTTCAAAGGACTTAGACAATTTTTGGAGATGCTCCAACCCAAAATAAATGGAACTCCTATTCATCCAAACGGATAGCGAATTTGCGAGTTTAATTAATCTCCAAAGCCTATAAAAATTTGAAATTTGTAGTTAATTGCTATATCTTAATGGGCTTGGGCATAATTGCTTGCTTTTTGCTGAAAAACATGAGTTTCACTTACAAATTTCGCCTCTAGTGATCTGGTCAGGGTGGTGGTCCGGTTGAAAAGACCGATTTAGACTCAAAAACCTACTTATATCTATTCCGATTTTCGAGAATCTTGGATTATTGTTCAGTACATTTTTTTATTTTTTTTCGTTTTCCTATTCTAGCAGCGAAATATGCATTCACAGGAAGTAATGTTAGACGTTAGCAACATGTTGCGGCAATAATTCCGGCAACTTGCCCGTACTATTTCTTTGCACCAAACAAAATATTCTTATAAAAAGAACCCCCTGTCGACCATTACAAAACCCGATAACTTGTCGATTGATTAAGGAGGAGAGTTAGAGGGAAAAGGGCTACTAAGGACGAATGTCTTTAGCACTAAAAGTGCCCATCGGTTTTCCTTGCAAATCTTCGAGAATATAGTAGTTATTTCCTAATTTTTGGCGAACTCGAGCTTTTATGAACAAGGGTGCTAATTTGGCATTAAAACGCTTTTCAAAATTACTTTGGGCAAAATTCCTTCTATATACTTCTTGGCCTATTTTAAAATTTACTGGTCCTGATCGCAAATTGTACTGCGCCACATTGCGCTCGTATGCTTTCATGCTATGATCGCGCAAATCCGCGCGCAATAATGACATTTGGTCTTTTCTATATAAAGGACAGCTTGCCTCCTCCAACGAGTCAAGATTCCTCAGGAGCTGGTATGTTGAGCCATACGTGATTATGTTTAAGCCGAACAGTGCAAAAAAGGCGAGCAACCTATAGATTGGTGCACGGAATTTCTCAGTGAGCAACTGATACTGCTAAGATTTTCATCCCATTTCGTTTGATCAGTTTTTAAATAGGCCCTAATCGCAGCAATTAACGAACGATTAGCCCGTTCGGACGCATTGGCCTGGAGAGAATATAACGCCGTGAACGTGTGCTGAATCCCCAATTTCGTTAAAAATGCGTTGAAATCAGTGGCTTTGAATTGTACACCGTTATCGCTGACAATAACATCCGGAACACCGAAACAGTGGAATATGTTGGCCAACAGAAAGTCTTGTATCGTATTGGACTTAAATTTCTTTAAAGGACATAGCCAGTGGTATTTGGAAAAGTGATCCAGAACGATTAATAGGCCAACGTTACCGTTTTTGCTCCTGGGATAGGGACCTAAGATATCTTTGTAGAGCCGCTGAAAAGGCCGACATGACTCCGCTTGCTTTCCCATCGGTGGTTTCAAAGTAATATTTGGGGCTTTGGTGGTTTTACACACCTCGCAGCTTTTGACA